ACAGAAAATGGGGGGCAGCCGCATGGATCATGGAGGTACGAGCGACCTCCATGACTAAGCCAATGCGGCGCTCAGCAACCCCATTCTGCTGAGGAGAGGCCGGAAGCGTGAAAGTCTGGCGGATGCCGTGCTCCGCACAGAAGGCTGCCAAGAGGTTTGAGGAGAACTCACCACCTCTGTCAGAGTGCAGACGCAGGACAGGAAAGTCCGACTGGAACCGCTCGCGGAGCTGGAGACGAGTAGCGCGGATCCAGGGGATCAAAACATCAGGGACATCCCCCTTGCGCTGCAAGGGGAAGACCGTGGTGTAGCGCGTGTAGTCGTCGACAACCAGCAGGAAGTACCGCTCGTGGCCCTGTCCACGGACGCGGGCTGGGCCCCACACGTCCAGGTGGAGAGTCTGCAGTGGAGCCTCTGTGGGAGGGAACGAGGAGGAGTGAGGAGCGGCGCGCTGCCGCCCCTCGACGCAGGGAATGCAGGGCGGCGCAGGCGAGGGAGGGAGGGCAGGCAGAGACCTGGGAAGCCCAGAAACCAGGAGGCGGGAGTGCATGCTGCGTAGGCGAGGCAGGGAGGGGTGACCAAGGCGGTGGTGCCACAGGAGAGTGTCGTGCGACAGCCGGCGACACTCACACTGTGTAGCTACCTGAGCAGACGCGTGCAACCGGGGATACAAAGGGGCGGAGCGTGACGCAGTGGTGAGGGTGTACAGACTGGACCCCGGCGCACGAGCGAACGTGGCCAGGTGGCGACCAGTCTGGGAGCACGTGCAAATCGCCACACGCTGCCGGCCAGGGGTGAAGGTGTCAACCCCCGCATCCTGGAGGACAGCGTTACTCACCAAGTTCGTAGAGAACGAGGGGAGGTGGAGACCAGACAGCTCACCAGACGGGACCGCCGGACACGGAAGCACAGTGGAAGACCGTGCAAGCACTGGGCCCCCAGAGGGGTCAGCCAGTGAGACAGGAACAGGTGCAGGGAGGGGAGTGACTGTGGTACTGTCGCGAAAGAAACAGCGGGAAGCACCAGAGTCAAGTGTAAAGGTGTGCAAAGCTTGTGCAGGCGCAGTACCAAGGGGAGCAGACTCACAAGCACCTAGTGCTGCAGGGGCTATACCAGGGGTTATACCAGGATCCGGCGGCACACACAAGTAGCAGTCACCCTCAGCACTAACAGACAAGGCATACATAGCAGTGAGAATAGCAGCATAATCAAGAGCATATATATCTACCCTCTGTCCAAGCAGCTCCACCCAGTCGGGGAGCTCAGCCTCGTCGCCAAACTCGGTACGCCAGGCGTCACTCAGACGGGCGAAGCAGCGGGACTGGGTGTGACTAAGCGTCCCACAAGTCTGACCCGTCCGATCTCCTGTGCGAATGACGTACGGGCAGCGAACGGTACTCAAAGACCCTCTACTCTGAGCGTACCTCTCGTGAAGCTGCTGGGACGTAAGTGCCTTGCGTGGACGCGGCTGCAGCTGCAGCCGGCCACCGCCAGACGTTCCCAACTGACCAGCTCTAGGGCGACAGCTACGACGACTACCGCCACAACCCCAACTAGCGTACCACTCACGAAGCTGCTGGGGCGTGAGAGACTCGCGCGGACGTCGCTGGAGCTGCATCTGGCCACCGCCAGTACCAGTAGCAGTAGCCTAGCAGAGCAGGCGCGGCAGGCAGACAGGCAGGCAGGCAGGTAGGTAGGCAGACAGGTAGACAGGCAGGCAGGCAGGCAGGCAGGCAGGCTGGCTGGCAGGCAGGCAGGCAGACAGGCAGACAGGCAGGCAGGCAGGCAGGCAGGCTGGCAGACTGGCAGGCAGGCAGGCAGGCAGATGGCGCGGCAGCGCGCTAACAAGGCAGGTGCTCACCAGTGTCGGGTAGAGCAGGCGCTCGCCGGGCGAGCAGGGCCGGCGCTCGGCGGGCGGCTGCACGGGGTCCAGGGGCGGCGTCGCGGGTCCAGGGGCGGCGTCGCGGGATCCAGGGGCGGCTGCACCAGGGGCGGCTGCTCGAGGGTCCAGGGGCGGCTGCACCAGGGGCGGCTGCTTCAGGGGCCTGGGGCGGCTGCTCGGGGTCCAGGGGCGGCTGCTCGAGGGGCGGCTGCTGCAGGGGCCAGGGGCGGCTGCTCTGGGTCCAGGGGCGGCTGCTCGAGGGTCCAGGGGCGGCTGCACCAGGGGCGGCTGCTTCAGGGGCCTGGGGCGGCTGCTCTGGGTCCAGGGGCGGCTGCTCGAGGGGCGGCTGCTGCAGGGGCCAGGGGCGGCTGCTCTGGGTCCAGGGGCGGCTGCTCCAGGGGCGGCTGCTGCAGGGGCCAGGGGCGGCTGCTCTGGGTCCAGGGGCGGCTGCTCGAGGGTCCAGGGGCGGCTGCTCGAGGGGCGGCTGCTGCAGGGGCCAGGGGCGGCTGCTCTGGGTCCAGGGGCGGCTGCTCCAGGGGCGGCTGCTGCAGGGGCCAGGGGCGGCTGCTCTGGGTACAGGGGCGGCTGCTCGAGGGTCCAGGGGCGGCTGCTCGAGGGGCGGCTGCTGCAGGGGCCAGGGGCGGCTGCTCCAGGGGCGGCTGCTGCAGGGGCCAGGGGCGGCTGCTCTGGGTCCAGGGGGGGGGGGGGGGGGGGGGGGGGGGGGGGGGGGGGGGGGGGGGGGGGGGGGGGGGCAGGGGCGGCTGCTGCAGGGGCGGCTGCTCCAGGGGCCAGAGGCGGCTGCTGCAGGGGCGGCTGCAGCAAGTAGCAGCAGCGGCAGCAAGTAGAAGCAGCAACACAGGCGCAGTGCAGCGTGTAGGCCTGGCGTGGGCTGTACTGGCCGCGTGCGGGCCTGACGTGGCCTGTACGGGCTGCGCGAATGCCTAGCGCGGACTGTACGGGCCGCTCTCGGGTCTGACTCGGCCTGTACGGGCTGCGCTAACGCCTAGCGCTGACTGTACGGGCCGCGCGCGGGCCTAACGTAGGCTATACGGACCGCGCGCGGGCGTGGCGCGGGCTGTACGGGCGGCGCGAAGGCCAGACGGGGGCTGTACGGGCTGCTCGCTGGCTACGCGCGACAGGACAGGGCAGGGCCGCGGGGCAGCGAAAATCGATGCACCTAAGGGCGCATTTCGGGCAGAAAAAAGCAGAGAACGAGATTCGGGCAGGAACACGGAAGGTTTAACGGTGGGCCCTAAAAAAAATCGTCCTAGGCTAGGAACGTCCTAGCTCTTAATACCATGTTAGAATCTTACGGGAAAGTGGTGTGTCGACTATCGAAAGGGAAAGATACAAAGGAGAAACCTAAGGGGTTGTACCCCACAGTGAGTACCCCACTAAGCCTAACCAAACTATAACAAATATACACATATGTTTTAACATAGCAAGCAGGGACACAAAGCACCATTCACACCATTTAGAAAGCTTGCTTTCTTTCATGTAGCAATGGCATCGTCTCATTTCAAATGGGTTTAGTACAATTTGAAATCCAAGCAGCCTATCAGACTAATGTGCTAACACATTTCAAGGGGTGGGTGGGCGGGAAAATCGGCTAAACCGTTTGAAAATGAGAGACGTGGGTGGAGGGAAATGACCTCCAGCCCACGTTTTGTACTCCAAAACGGGCGTTTAGCGCGGTTCGTCGCCGCCCATTCCTACATTACAGACTGCTTCGCTTTCAAAATACGAAATTTTGAAAAGCGTTACACTTTTAAAAATATTCATATTAGGGAAGCTAGCAACTAGAAAAACCAGCCAAGCTCGGATACAGTAAATAGGATACACACAACCAAGCGATCAGGATTGTGACAAGGACATTGGGCAATGGGCAGTCAAGCAAGCCAGCAAGCCAGGGCTAGTTGTGTAGAAGTACGGTATCCAGTGGTGCACACTGCAGTTGGCCAACCATCTCACTCTCCCCCCTATCCCACTGCGCACTGCCAAACCGTGGCCAATTCATGGAAGAACCAGTGCAGTGCAACCAGGTGACTTTTGAGTCGACTCAAAAATCACCAAGCCGTGGCCAATTCATGGAAGAACCAGTGCAGTGCAACCTAGGAGGAATGCGATGTGATGCGAGCCATTGCTGCTGGTACCGTACTCCCCTCAAATGCAGCATGCAGAGTGACTGTTGTTACACTATTCGCATGCGCACTTCTGACCCATAAGTCCATGACCACTCATTTCTTTATACCCAACCCACGCATTCCCCATACCCACACATTCCCCATACCCACTCATTCCCCACACCTACTCATTCCCCACACCTGCTCATTCCCCACAGTCACTCATCATCCCCCACAGTCACTCATCCTCCACACCCACTCATCCCCCGTACCCACTCATCCCCCGTACCCACTCATCCCCCATACCCACTCATTCCTGATACCCACTCATCCCCCATACCCACTCACTCATACTCTAAGAGCGTGTTCCTACACCTCGTATCAGACACACCTCGCATCAGCTTAGCGTGGTGAAACGCGTTTCAGTGTGTTCTACTGCGGTTGGATGCAGTTCAGTGCGGTTCTACGCAAATTTGATACGAGGTTGCCTGATATGAGGTTGTAGGAACACGCTCTAAGCACAACCCACAGTCCAAACAAACTCACACCCCTCCGTAACCAGACACCCTCCCCAACCATACACATCTCCCCTCCCCTCCTCTCTGCACCCATCTGCACCCATCTGCACCCATCTGCACCCATCTGCACCCATCTGCACCCATCTGCACCCATCTGCACCCATCTGCACCCATCTGCACCCATCCCCGCACACGTTTCCTTCTCTCCTCTATATCACCTTGTCCCCCATGCCACAAGTAACATGCTACGACTACGCCTGAAACGCCACAAGCAAGGTGACAAGGTGCCATGATGAGTAGAAAGAGTAAGACGACTGCTGCACCCCCAGGCAGCCCCCCACCTACGGTCACTCCCTCCCTGCAAACCTGCCGTCGCGAATCTTCCCATCCAGCTTCTTTTGAGACTTTCAAAAGGTGCCATGATGAGTAGAGAGCGTAAGACGACGGCTGCACCTCCAGCCAGCCCCCCACCTTGGGTCACTCCTTCCATGCAAACCTGCCGTCGCGAATCTTCCCATCCAGCTTCTTCAGCCCTCCTGTCATCCGCTGCACGCTAGCCAGTGCCAACGCCGCTGCCTGTGCTGCCTCCTGCTCCTCCCTCGTCACTCCTGCTGCTGCTGCTGCCGCTGCTGCTACTGGTGTTGCTGTTGCTGCTGCGGCTGCTGGTCCTGTCCTTGCAGCAGCCGCTGCTGCCACCGCATGTCTCCCAGGTGCCGTTGCCACATCTCCCTTCTTCTCATTCCGAAACAGAGCAAATACTTTGTGCCCTAGCGCATGAAACAACCGTCCCTCCTCAGGACGCGACCCGCCGTCACTCCCCGCCCCAGCCCGCGCCCTCCCCTCCCACTGATCCCTCCATTCGTTAGAAACCCGCGTGCCTTTCCCCGCCTCACTAGGAAAATAGGAGCTCCTGGGGCGAGCTTTTGGTGCTGAAGCAGCAATCCTGTGCTGGCTGGATCTGCTCCCGCTTGATACATCGGAATGGCCTCGAGAAGAGGTGGCAGTGGGGGAGGTGGAAGGGGAGGAGGAGGAGATGGGAGAGACGTGGGCGGAAAGGTTGGGTATGCGGGGCTGGGTTCGCATGGGCGCTCTTGGTTGCTGCTGCTGCTGCTGCTGCTGCTGCTGTGACATGTGGTGCTCGTTTACACGCATGGGAGAGCGGGGGTGCTGTGAGTCCATCTCCATCTCCTCTGCGCGTCGCAGCTCTTCTTCTAGCTCCAGAGATAGCGAGTCAGCTGCAGATGGGCTGCGATGCCTGCCAACTGCAGCAAAGGCCCCAGTGGCACCAGTAGCACCAGTGGCACCAGTAGCAGCGCCAGCACCAGAACCACCGGGAGTGGCAGCAGCGGCGGCAGCAGCGACAGCAGCGAAGGCACCAGTGGGAACAAAGTCATCAGTGTTCCCCGCTGTGCCGTATGGCGAGGCACTCCTGGGGCGTGCTGGAGCATTGAAAGTGGCTGTCGCAGCAGCAGCAGTAGCAGAAGCAGTAGCAGCAGCAGTAGCAGGAGCAGTGCCAAAAGCACGTGAAGCAGTCGTGGCGCTGGTGGGACTTTGCGCTATGGGCTTATGGGACCAGAGAGGGGGGCTTTGGGGGCGGGGCTGTGTGTGTGGGGCAGAGGGGCTTGGGTGCCTGGCAGCTTGGGCACTCACACCGGCTTTATTGTGGTGTGGACGTGCACTCATTGGGGAGGCAGGACGCGCTGAACCTGCCACTGACCTTGCTCCTGCTGCTGTTGGTCTTGCTCCTACTGCTCCTGCTCCTGCTGCTGCTGCTGTTGCCAAGGCCATGTGCTCGTGTGGTGCTTGCTGCTGCAGTAAGATGAGCCGCGAACGGATTTGCAAGGGAACGGATTCGGAAGGGAAGGGGGGAGAGGCGAGCGAGTAGAGTAGAGGGAATGAATGGGAATAAGTGGTGACGAGCGGTTCAAAACATTGCATGAGCGTGACGAGTTCTCCAAGGCAGTCTAGAAAGAGATGGAGGACGGTTTACAATGTTTCTTCGCATCTGTGCATGCGTGGTGATGGCGAGATAGGAAGGAGGGAGAGCGAGAAAGCAGTAAGGAAGGGATGGAGACAGAAAGAAGAGGAGAAAGACGGGGAGAGGGAGGCAGGCAGGGGGATACGGAGCGCTGATAGAATAGTGAGCACTAACCGGAAAAGGAGTAACCACAGCAGCTGCTGCTGCAGCAGCAGCAGTAGCAGCAGCAGCAGCAGCAGCAGCAGCAGGGGTGTGAGCTTGGGCGTGATTCCTCCCCCCATCGGTGCGCCTGTAACCAGCCCCACACGCAGGAGACACAGCATTCCCACTCTCCCTCGCATCCCTCTCCTTCTCCCTCTCCATCCCTGCACCCGCTACACTCCCCCAGCCTTTCTGCCCTCCCTGCACCTCCTGTGCTCCTTCAGGTGACACCCTGGCGCCGTCAGGTGAGGGCAACAGAGGGCGGGTAACAGCCCTCAGGTGGTGGCCCAGGATGTTGCTCGCATTTAAATGAGGCGATGGGGCAATCCCAGGGTCATGACTACCCACGCTGCTCCCATGGGAGCTAGTAACACCGCTCTGTGCTGCTATAAGACCTAAAAAGCTGCCACCAGTGGGACTAGAATCACCCACCACACTACCCATGCCATGTGCCCTGCCTGGCCGTATGCCTTCTGCTCCTGCTCCTGCTCCTGCTCCTGCTCCTGCTCCTGCTCCTCCTGCTGCTGCTGCTGCTGCTGCTGCTGCTGCTGCTGCTGCTGCTGCTGCTGCTGCTGCTGCTGCTGCTGCTGCTGCTGCTGATGGCGGTGGTACGAGGTGAGCAGGTGCAAAGGAGAGTTCCCTACCATAGGGAGGAGGAATGTGCCATGGGGACACATCTCCCGGGACAGCAGCACTGCCTCGAGTATTCGCTTTGTGTGGTGGGTCAGTCAGAGACCGGGGCACCACCATTGGCCTCCCTTCCCAGCCCTGCTTAGCACCACCACCACCAGCGGCAGCAGCAGCACCAGCAGCACCAGCAGCACCGGCAGCACCGGTGGCACCGGCAGCACCGGCAGCAGCAGCAGCAGCAGCAGCAGGCCTGAGGATGTGGTCATGGACGTCAGGCCCACGACCCACGTCATCAAGTGATAGCCCACCAGGGTGTGACCCACTGCCAGGAAACCGCACGTATGCAGGCTGTGCTATGGGAGAGGTGTCAGCAGCAGCAGCAGCAGCAGCAGCAGCAGCAGCTTGTGATATCCTACGACCAGGGCGAGGTGATAGGCCTGCCACTGGCTCCCAGTAACTAACACCTTGCATTGAACGCCCCGGTGACTGCCTTGAACCTGCTGGGACTGACGACGCTTCCAAGTCAGTCCACCCAGCAGCACCGCTCTGCACACCTCTCTGCACATCTCCCATGCCCTGCGCGCTCCCTCGCGCCTCCTGCTCTTTCATCCTCGCCTGCTCCTGCGCCTCCTGCTGCTGCACAATACAGTCAACCATTGCTAACTCCTGATCCAGAAGCTTCTTTATCTCATCCATGCGCTCTGCCTCCTTTTGACTCGACTCAGAAGACAGCCTCGCCTGCGCCTTCTGCTCCTGCGCCTCCTGCTCCTGCACAATACAGTTCACCATCTCTAACTCCTGATCCAGAAGGTTCTTTATCTCGTCCATGCGTGCTGCCTCCGCCTTATCACGCGCTTTCTTCGCAGCCTCTGCTTCCGCGTCCTCCCCAGGGGCCTTCACCCGAAACGCGTGTGGGGCGAGAGGGTATATGGAGAGTTCCTGGCTTGTGCGGCTGCCCCGGGCGCCCTGGGCGAGCGATTTGAGGAAGGATTGAAGGCGAGAGGCCACGGAGGAGGTTATATGGGGAAGACCAGTTCGGTTCTGCGCAGACGTGAGGGGTGTTCCAGTACCTGCGTCGACAGCGTGCGACACAAAGCCCTCGTGGACGCGCGCTAGTAACGCGTACGCCTTGGGCCGCGGAAGAGACGCGGATTCGTACGCGATAAGAGCGTACGTGACCCTTGAAGCGGGGGGCATGGAGGAGGAGGAGGGAGAGAAGGCGGAGGAGCGGTATCCGGGCGGGCTGTTGAGCTCCGCGGGAGGGAAAGGAAAGGCGGAGAAGAGGGCCATAATGCCCCCCTGGCCCTGCGCGGATGAGCGATGCAGGGCGCGAGAGGTGTCGTGAGATGCACGGAAAGGTAGCAGGTGGAGAGAAGAGAGAAGTGGAAGAAGAGGACGGTGAGCGTCAGCGTCATGACTCATGATTCCCCCCCCCCCACTCCTCCCTCCCCCCTTTCTCCCCCCACCCCACCCTTTCTTCCTACTCTCCCAAGCTAGCCCGGAATTTGACGCAGAAGCGAGGCTTACCGCGGAAAACTTGCTGAGATAAGGGGGGAGCTCTTGAGCGGACTCGCGCACGAGTGGCTCCCATTCCTGCTGCGACGAGTATGAGACGAGAATGTTGCCATCGCAGATCACGCCGAGGAACAACACCAACTGACGCTGTTGATCCTTACCCATTTGGAAACTATACGAGAGATTATTTCTCAAGAAAATGAAGAAAGACGGACAGATTGAAAGCGCAGATTGCTACTACAGCCAGGAATTCCTTATTAATCGGCAAAGCGGCTCGAATGAGCTGCTCTTCTCCAGATGCAGACCCACAATTTGGGTGCCTTACGACGGTGTAGAAAGAAATGGGGGTGTGTGAGTCATCTTGGTGTTGCCGCTAAAAGGCGGGAATGCGCAAAACTCAAGATAGAAATGGCAGAAGTCGTCCTGGGCTGGGAGGAAAGGCAGTGACATCGAAGCAGTGATGTCAAGATAGTATGGCATGGCAATGCAGCAGGCTCGGTCAATGCGGCAGAGTAGAATGGAAGTGACATGGAAGAGAGGAGAAAACCAGGTGAGAGGGGCAAGCGGACGAAAGTATTGACTGCGAAAGATTGCTGGGCGGACCTGGCAGGATTCCTCCAGCAAGGCGGGCAGGTGAAGCATGGAGTGGAGAAACCAAGGGTCAATGCTGTGCTGGCGAAGAATCTCGGTTTTGGTTACCTTTTGTAACACTCTGGGGAGCTGAAGTGTTTATGTGCTTTCTGCATCACTTTAGGTTACTTTCTGTAACACGCTGGGTCGCTGAACTGTCAAGTGCTTCATGCCCATACCCCATGAATGAAGAAGACCTGCAATGTAATTGTAGAACCATGTGCAATGCCCCCTTTGCTATGCTAGAAAGGCATAGTGCCGGCGTAGTGGAAGCCTTGATGTATGATAGAATAACAAGAGAAACCTTGCAACTGAAAGGATTCAGAACAATAGATTGATTATGAAAGCACACAGCAAGGTATTTAACCATGCAGCTACCCTCCCAAAGTCTAGCCATCCCCACCAATAATGGTCCACCAATAATGCCAACTCTAATAAAGGAGTGAGAACAATTCTACCCCCAAAGCTCTGGACTCCAATAATGCAGTCCCGACAATAATTGCACAATTATTGTAGGGCCTAGAGGCTTCTATAGGCTTCTTATGCTTTATATTTCCAACACTCCCTCTTGCTGTTGGTTTTAGTGATTCATGTTTTGTGGAGGTTGGGGGATGAGGTGGTTTACCACAAACACACTTACCCTGTGGTTTATCCGTGATTCCGTTGATTGCGGAAGGGTGTGTCAAACTATATTTTTGTCTTCTCTCTAGGCTATAGTGGGTTAGCCTACAAGGGGTACATCAATTTAGAGTTAGTACTTGTACCCAACTCATTCACAGTTCATTCATTCCTGCACAGTTATTCTGACATTGTATTAAGAGCAGGAAACCTGTTAAGTATTTAGGGCCCACCGATAGTTCCACTTGTTCCTGCCCGAAGCGCCCTTGCGCTGTCCGGCCCTGCTCGCACAGTGTCGCGCTGCCCTGCAGCTACTCGCACTTCCTGCCCCCCGCACGTCGCGCCCTGCTGCCCTGCCCAGTGCACACCGCCCTGCCCTTAGGCCCGCGCCCAGCTGCCCTGCAGCCCGTGCATCGTGCTGCCCTGCCCTTAGGCCCGCGCGCCGCCCTGCCCTGCAGCTCACGAGCTGCACCGCCCTGCCCTGCAGCCCAGCGCGTCGCGCCCTGCTGCCCTGCCCAGCGCGCGCCCCACTGTCCTGCGCGTCGCGCCCTACTGCCCTATGCGTCACGCCCTACTGCAGCCCGCTCGTCGCGCTCTGCTGCTCCGCGAGTCGCGCCCTGCTGCAGCCCGCGCGTCGCGCCCTGCTGCAGCCCGAGCGTCGCGCTCTGCTGCTCCGCGCGTCACGCCCTGCTGCAGCCACCACGTCGCGCCCTGCTGCCATGCGCGTCGCGCCCTGCTGCAGCCCGCGCGTTGCGCCCTGCTGCAGCCCGCGCGTCGCGCCCTGCTGCCCTGCACAGCACGCGCCCTGCTGCCCACGCCGCCCAGGCCGAGCCGCGCTGCCCAGCCCGAGCCGCCCTGCCCAACCCGAGCCGCCCTGCTGCTACTACTGCTGCTGCTGCTGCTCGCGCTAATGCTGCTGCTGCTGGAGGTGCTGCTGGAAGTGCTGGAGGTGCCGCCGCCCAGCCCCACCGAGCCGCCCTGCTGCTACTACTGCTGCTGCTGCTGCTGCTCGTGCTACTGCTGCTGCTGGTGGAGGTGCTGCTGGGAGTGCTGCTGGTGCTGGAGGTGCGGCTGGGAGTACTGGAGGTGCTGCTGGTGCTGGAGGTGCTGGACCTACTACTGACCATCACTGCCTATCATGGCCACTATCACGGCAGTTGCAGCAGCCAGGGGTGGACAGCAGCGGTCACTGCCTCTCCCAGACGACCCCACCCCTCGGCAGCTTCGTGAGTGGGTTATTCAGCGAGGCAGTCCTGGTGGTGGAGGTTTTGGTTTTATGTGGCCTCAGCGACCTCGCGACTACGCTTCTCAGCGTTGCGTCCCTGCTAGTGTAGAGGCTGCTGCTCTCGATTCTAGTGAGTCTGATGTGGCTCCAGGTGCTGGTAAGTCTGCTGCAGCTCTAGGTGCTCGTGAGTCTGCCGACGCTCTAGGTGCTAGTGCGTCTCCTGCCTCAGCTGAGGCCTTGCACACTTTCACGCTTGACTCAGGCGCGTCAAGTTGCTTCTTTCGTGATTGCACCACATTCACACCACTTGCAGCACCTGTCCCAGTCTCACTGGCTGACCCCACTAGGGGTCCAGTAGTTGCGCGAGCCTCCACTGTCCTCCCGTGTCCGGCAGTCCCCTCCGGGTCTCTCTCAGGTCCCCACCTCCCCGCGTTCTCGACGAACTTGTTGAGCAACGCAATTCTCCAGGATGAATGGGTTGACACCTTCATTCCTGGAGGACAGCGTGTGGCGATTTGTAAGTGCTCACGGACTGGCCGTCACCTTGCTACGTTCACTCGTCAGCCTGGATCCGGTCTGTACACCCTGACCACTGTGTTTGCACAGGTGGCTGAGTCAGGTCAGGTGGTTGCGTCGAGTCGGGTGTCTGCGTCTGTTCAGCTTGAAGCGTCTTGCTCGTGTCGGGTACTCCTCTTGAAGACTCTCCTATGGCACCACCACCTAGGTCACCCCTCGCTGCTGCGTCTCCGCAGCATGCACTCCCGCCTCCTTGTCTTTGGCCTCCCCAGGTCCCTGCCCTCCCTCCCGCGCTCGCCTGCCCCGCCGTGCCTTCCCTCCCTCGAGGGGCGGCAGCGCGCCGCTCCTCACTCCTCCGAGTTTCCTCCGACCACTGCTCCTCTGCAGACTCTCCACATGGACGTGTGGGGCCCGGCCCCCATCAGTGGAACGGACCAGGAGCGCTACTTCCTGCTGGTGGTTGACGACTACACACGCTACACAACTGTCTTCCCCTAGCGGCGCAAGGCGGACGTCATCGACGTTTTGATCCCCTGGATCCATGCTACTCGTCGCCAGCTGCGCGAGCGGTTTCGTCGGGACTTCCCAGTCCTGCGTCTGCACTCTGACAGGGGCGGTGAGTTCTCTTCTGACCTCCTTGCGGAAGTCTGTCGAGACGAGGGCATCTGCCAGTCGTTCACGCTTCCGGCCTCTCCTCAGCAAAATGGGATTGCTGAGCGTCGCATTGGCCTAATCATGGAGGTTGCTCGTACCACCATGATCCATGCGGCTGCTCCCAATCTTCTGTGGCCATTTGCGGTCCGATACGCTGCGCATCAGCTCAACCTCTAGCCCCGTGTCTCTAAGCCAGAGACCTCGCCCACACTCCGGTGGACGGGGAAGGTTGGCGATGCGTCGGTGTTTTGGGTCTGGGGCGCGCTCTCCCTTGTTCGCGATGCCAAAGCGAGCAAGCTCTCCTCTCGCACTCTCCGCTGCGTCTTCCTTGGCTTCCCCACCGACGCCCCGCCGGGGCAGTTCTACCACCCGTGCTCGCGTCGAGTCTTCTCCTCCCAGGACGTCACCTTTGACGAGTCTGTCTGTTTCTACAGGCTACACCCGTACGCGTCCCACCCGGTCCCCCTAGCGCCTTTTTTCTTGGTACCAGTCCCCCCCCGGTAGACCCCCTCCCCCCACAGGGTCCTGCTCCCTCAGGTGTGTCTTTGGTAAACCCACCCTCCTTGGTTGAGCCTTTGGAGATCTCTTCTGACTCCTCTGGCCCAGCTGAGGGGGGTGACCCCGCCGCTAACGACATGGCGGCCACTCGCCGCTCTCCACGCTTGGAGACCCCCCTTGGTTTTCCGCCTCGGCCGTCTTCGCCGCCTCCGCAGCCTGCTGCTGTGGACTCTGGAGCTGAGACTACTAGTGCTGAGCCTGGGGGTGCTGAGACAGAGGGTGCGGGTTCTGGGGGTGCTGCGACTGGGGGTGCTGGTTCTAGGGGTGCTGCAACTGGGGGTGCCGACTCTGGGGGTGATGCGAGTCCTAGTGGAGGTGGAGCTGTAGGTGACCCTGCTGGAGGTCCTAGAGTTAGACAGCCACCGCAGCCTGATCTACTTGAGATGCTCTCGCCACAAGCGATTCGTGCGTGGATCGTTCGGCGAGGCAGTCCTGGTGTTGGAGGGTATGGTCCTGCTGGTGCTGGAGCTGCTAGTCCATGAGGTACTGCTGGTGCTGGAGGTGCTGGAGGTACTGCTGGAGGTGCTGGAGGTGCTGCTGGTGCTAGAGGTACTAGAGGTGCTGCTGGTGCTGGAGGTACTGGAGCTGCTAGCCCTGGAGGTACGGGAGGTGCTACTGGTGCTGGAGGTGCCGGAGCTACTAGTCCTGGAGGTGCTACTGGTGCTGGAGGTGCTGGACCTACTAGTCCTGGAGGCACAGCAGGTGCTGCTGGTGCTGGAGGCGCTGGAGCTGGAGGTACTAGATGTGCTGGAGCTGCTGGTCCTGAAGGTGCTCGTACTGGAGGTGCTGGATCTGCCGGAGCTGGTGGTGCTGCTGGCACTGGAGGTGCTGGTGCTGCTGGTGCTGGAGGCGCTGGAGCTGGAGGTACTGGAGGTGGTGGAGCTGCTGGTCCTGGAGGTGCTAGTACTAGAGGTGCTGGAGCTACCGAAGCAGGTGGTGCTGCTGGTGCTGGAGGTGCTACTGG